CAAAGATCTAACATGTCCAGCGTTGTTCCTTTGTTTTTTACGGGTAACAATTACCCAATCCTTCTCGCATACCGGATTGACCTGTGGTAACTCCGGCTGTTGCTTAGTAGCCTGTTTCACAATAAATGGAAGCGGGCGTTTGTATTGCTTGCCCCCATCCTCTTCATCACTCTCCTCAACTAATGGAGCGAACCTTCCGCATGAGATTTGGTTGGTGCTGGCAGTCGCATCAGCCAGCTCAATCTTTCCATCACGAGCAAGTCTCATCACCTTATCTTTAAAGACGAAGCATTTTTCAATCGGGTGTCCGAGGAGACGATGATACTTGCAATAGTTGGGGTCGTCCGCCTTAGAAGCTTCTTCGAGGCGCTTCATCTCCGGTAATTCAATCAACTTAAGCTTTAACAATTCATCAAACATTGGTGACACATCAGAGTCCAAGAACGGATACTGTTTTTGCTGCATCTCTTCAATGATTTTAGTACCCCGAGATGGGCGGGAAAATGGCCTTAGCCTGGGATTTTCAGTTACTTTGGCGAAAACCCGCATTGGTGCTGTTTTTACGTTCATGGCCTCCTTCTTTTCTTGTTTCGTGAAGGGTTTGCCCCCTTTCTTGAATTCTTGTTTTACAGGCGCCTTGGATGAGCTAGCGATACTTGACATGCCGAGCCCTCCATTGGCTTCAATACTCAATTCCATGTCGTGAGCACGACTGGATAGTTCTTCAAATGTTCTAGGCTTGATTCCCTGCAAGATATAAGAGAGCTCGAAGTGCATCCCTTGGATGCACATTTCAATTGCGGAGCTTTGTGATATCCTCTCTTTACAGTTAAGGCACAATTCCCTCCATCTCTCGATGTAAGTGCCCGCACGCTCACCCTTCCATTGGTGGGTAGTGGTGAGTTCCAAGAAGCTGACAGTCCTCCTGGTGCTGTAGAAGCGGGTCAAAAACTCGCGCTCCATATCATTCCAGCTATCAATGCAACCATGCTCCAGGTCTGTGTACCAATCAAAGGCAGTGCCCTTCAGAGAGCGGACGAACTGCTTGACGAGGAGATCTCCGTATGTTCCTGCATCATTACAGGTTTCAACGAAGTGGGCGATGTGCTGCCTCGGGTTGCCTTTTCCATCAAACTGCTGGAACTTGGGAGGTTGATAGCCCAGCGGCATTTTCATTTCTTCAATTCTCTGAGTATATGGCTTAGTGTAAGTATATGAAGATTGTCCTCCCTCGAGCTTCCCCTTGATCGCTCCCATGATGTACTCATTCAACTGCTCAACGGGTATCATGCCCTCAGAAATCGGGATACTCTTCTCGGCGGGTGGTGGACGGGAGATTGTCTCTTCCATTCCTGGCCTACTTTGATGGCGCGGGGACTCGACATCAATCTCATCTCCTTGGGTTTGAGGCTGCTTCCCGGAAGCCCGACTTGTTTCGCCGTTCCTTCCGCTTTCAACCTTTTCGCTGAGCTCATTGATCCGCCTTTCTTGGTTATGCATGAGTGCAGCTATCCCCTCGAGAGATTTAGTGATGTTTGCGAGTTGTTCCTCCACCGAAGCCGCGTTCGTTGTCATAGCGGGCATGATTGTGTATATGTGATTCCATTCTGGTGAGGTTCTCTGCAGAAGTGATGACTGTGATGAACTTCCACTGCTTGGAGTTTTATTCAAGGGAATAGGGCTCGCAGGACTCTTGTTACTTGGAGCTCTCTCACTTGTAGGATTCTGGTCAGCAACAGTTTCCTTTGTAGAGGATGATCCTTTGTCATGTGCAGCTCTCCGTGACATAGTGGAGTTTCTGTCAATCCTTCGGACGATGTGGCGGGCAATGTCCTGGGCCTCGTGGAGTTGCACCCCTAGGTTCCTCACTCGGCTTCGAGTCATTGCTCCTCCTGCGCCTTGGCTATCACCGGAACCGACCGCTGATGATGCCCTAGAGCGGGTAGCCTGAGCATATGTCATCTTGGAGGAGGGATTTCTTGATGCCATTTAGATTCCTTCCTTGTAGAGCTCGTGAATCAACAGTGAAGAGATGAGAGGCAGAGTTGTCCCACTGGGCGTGCCAAAATCTGTAAACACAAAAAAGTAAACTTTGTATATATATTCACAAAATTCCTTGTATAGTGTGTGTATAATTCAATGCAGGTACAAAATCTCTGTCTAGTCCTCTGATTCTTCACTAACGTTATCTATGGAAGTGCCTCCGGGATTCAATTAGCGTGGCCTCCGGGATTCAATTGGCGCGTGCCTCCGGGATTCAAGTGGCGTAGCTTCCGGGATTTAAGTGGCGTAACTTCCAACAACGAGCGTCAAGAATTTAGAAATAATCAACCCTGCAAAGTTTCAAAACACATGCAATGGATTCAAGCTGCTTTAAGATCCTCAAATGCCTTCAAAAAACTTCAATATCTTCGAGACAATCAATTCTGCAAAGCTCCAAAGTACCTTCAATGGATTCAAATTGCCTACAAAATCAACAAAAATGCCTTCAACTTCAAGCGTTCTTCAATGCCTTCGGGCTCTTCAAATGCTCTCAACTCCTTAAGCCTTCAAGTTCTTCCAGCTTTCAAGTGTCTTTTGGAATGAAATGAAGGCTCTATTTATACCAAAAGCTTAACCAAAATTCCTCAACCAACTCCCCTTTTTAGTTAACTAATTAATTAATTAACTAATTAGGAAAATGAACCTTGCCCAAAATCAAGTCCGGGTTCATTATTGTATAATCTAATTCAAATTCAAATTAAATTATAATTATCTAATTCAAATATAATAAAATTAATATTATATTTAAATTATAATTATAATTTATAATTCAAATTCAAATATAAAATGGGCTTGGACCAGTTAATTAATTAATTCAATGGCCCAAATCAAATCTAATTGGGCTAATTAAATTAAATTAATTTCTATGATCCAATTAATTAAATTGAACCAACAATCAATCTCAACACTGGCCCAAAACCATTTTAGGAGCCCATTTGTTGGGTTCAAATTTCCTGTGTCTACAATCTTTATTATATTTATTCTTACCTTTTCTATATACTATGTACTCCTCAATTCACTGCAAGCAAATATACATACTCAATATATTATATCCATGTATTCATGCGTTATGCGTACATAACAAAGCTTACACATATTTATCACTAAAATAAAATTTAAATTATACACGAATTCATAAATATTTTGAGTGAACCATTAATAATTAAATCAAACATAAATAATTAAATTAGAAAACATAGAAGTAAAAGAATGATGAATAAGAAATGAGTTGAGAATAGGTGCGTTTGTTGAATCAATGAATTTTATTACAGGGAATTGTTTGCTAATAAAAAAGGATTAATCTACTCTGCTTTATTTTCATTTTCAGTTTTGACAATTTTCTACTTTCAATTTATCTCTTCTGATCGATCAACGGAATAGTGACCACTTCTCAATTTATCTTTTCCGATCGATCAACAGAATAGTTATGATAATGTGCATTTGATTTGAGATGATTTTACGGAGCTGAATGAAGTGTTTTCGCCCCCATCCGAGGGGGTGAAGATTAATCAAAGGCTCACTTGTTACTCTTGGCAGCCTCTTTTGCGCCTCTCGGTGGTTTTCACAACAATTTTTGCACTGCTCATCTAATTACAACTGTCAGGTATACATCTTTCTTTCTATGTCTCTTCATTGGTTTTAAAAAAAAAGTTTTTGGTAGTAAATATGGATTTCTATGGAAGGAGAGTCCAGGGAGTTATGTTATTTTTAATGGATTCTATTGACACTATTAATATTTTATTTCTTATTTCTTACTAGTATTTTTACCCGTGCGATGCACGGAATGAATTTGTTATAATATATTAAAATATTTAGAACGATATATATATATATATATATATATATATATATATATATATATATATATATATATATATATATTATAACATCAAAATATTATATAGTGCAATTTAAGATATGTTTTGGATCAATTATGTTTTCTGGTGTTATCCTTACTTGAATTCGAACAAATAATTGTTTAATTAATAGCTAATGTGTAGATGTACACATGCGGTGATAAAATTTTGGAGATTTTATATACATATCATTTTTAAGAATTTTTATAAATTGGGCAAATGTGCTCGTTCTCTGGCAGCTCAGTTATAAGAATCAATTGCTATCCTAATTCATTTGTATAGAAGATATATATTTTGTGTAGATATATAGCAAATTTTCCCTCTTTGAAAAAAAAAAACAGAGAACATAACATCACCGGTTCTATTTACACATTATTGAAAATCTCTCTGTAGACGACATTGGTAGTAGCAGCACAATCTTGTCTATCCTCATCTAAAGCTAACACCTTCAGGCTATTAGGATGGGTGACTCGAGAGAAAGCCACGTACAATTGACCATGATTAAAGACCGCTTTTTTTCAGCAATAATCCAACGTGAGTTAGTGTTTGACCCTAACTTTTGTTGATAGTCATTGCATTTGCAAGCATAAACAGAATTGTTTACGTTGGAACTTGAAAGGCAATCTCGTATTAGAAAGAGTGAGAAATATTCGGGGAATAAGAATTGTGGTTCCTTCATGTGTCCCATTAACTATTCTTGCTTTGACAATGTGATCTTCCAATCTTGTGACGATGAGCCGCATACCGTTATAAAGACCAAGAGAGTGGTCTATGTTCCACAATAACATAACAGGTGCACCGACCTTTAATGTCAATGAATGATTAGGAAGACCATACAATCTCAAACTATTTAAGAATTCAAGAGTGTGTACTTTTGAGAGATTTTCACCATCTAATTCTTCCTTACACAAAGAGTCAAAACTTAAATATGTTCATCCATCTATAGTATTCATGTCGCACATGTACTGATTAATTTGATCAACGACATCTAAAGTAGGCAAGAAGATCACTCGGCCTTCTAGTTGTAACTCATCAAGCATGTCATATCTCAAGCTTGGGAAGGTGCTTTCCACTATAGTTGCTATGGGATCGTGTCCACACTCAATAGAAACCATGCCAGAATATCGATCTCAGATGAATCGTCATTACAACCCCTACAATCTCATCTCTGATGTCTGCAATCCATTTTGAAAACCAATCAACCGTCCGTATATCTTCCTCTGAAACTAAGCTCCGTAGTCTCAAGTTCTTGGTGAGTGTTAATACATTGCAATTTGTCCACATGCACGAAGAATTAATAATGGTTCCAACAACTACTGGTCTCGTTGCTTTTGGAATAACGAGTAGGATCTGTCTAAAATCTCCGCCAAAAACTACTGTCTTTCCACCAAATCTCTTTCCAGCACTACCCGCTATGACAAACCTCAATAGATCCCTCATGATTTTGTCCAAAGCCACAAAACAGTGTTTGTGCATCATCGGTACTTCATCCCATATTATCAATTTGCTCCTTATTATAAGCTCAGCAAGGTCACTGTCTTGTGATATACTACACGTGGAATCTTCGTTCAAAGAGAATGGTATAGCAAATTTGCAATGCGTCGTTCTACCTCTCGGTAAGAGCAAATTGGGGTTTAGGGTTTAAAGGTGTTATTCCACTTGAAGCAACGATATCGTTCTCCACACGAGCGTCTTGCATGTTCCTCTGTAACCATACACAAAGAACAATCTACCTCCATTGGAATCAATATCATTCATCACAGAGTCGTAAACATTCTTTTGCTCGTCGGTCAATTGTGTTACCAATGTTTCATGTTCCGTCTTCAATGATTCCTTGTCATACGCCAACTCTTCGTCTATCAACATGTTTTCACTCAAACACATGTTACTTTCGTCTGCAATTGGCATTTCTGGAAAGTCCCTCAGGTTCTTCCCCCACAAAGATAGCAACTTCTCCAACTCCACCAGAGCGAACTGTTTCTTATTTGAATCCGATAACATCAACTCTTAAAAGGCAAAAAAAAAAAAAATTAGTTTATTTATAAATAATGATAAGAAAATAACAAAGTTGAATAAATAGATTGGAGCTTGATATACCTAGATTCTGCATGACACATCGACGCTAAAACTATGCATCATCGGCAAGAAATTCCCAAACGGCATTCCACACCAATATAAGCAACTGGGAGTTATGGAATAAGCACTCGAATGTTTGTTGGTTAACCGTAAAACATTGATATTCCCTGGACAAATAAAAACGCATCAACTGGAGCCTTATAGAGCATTTCCTCGTCCTGGCGGATAATTCAAAGGCAGAGACGAAAACAGACTCCATTGCTAAACAATAAGGAGAAATAGCAGGACTAACAGAGAAGAATAGAAAATATTCAATAATAGAATTGTTATTTGCTTTTGAGAATATTTATAGTGCAATTTTAATTGTCAAATAATAGCCTGTATTTTATTCAAAATTATGAATTATTTATAGTGCAATTTTAATAGCCAAATAACACCCTGCATTTTATTCATAATTATGAATTACCGATTCTTACCTTTTTTTTTTTTTTTTTTTTTTTTTTTTTTTTTTTGGGCACAACCTTCCTTATATTTATATCTATTACATTAATTAGTAATTTTCCTGAACATTATGGCTGATTGAATTTCAAATCGTTATTATTATTATTATTATTATTATTATTATTATTATTATTATTGTTGTTGTTGTTGTTGTTGTTGTTGTTGTTGTTGTTGTTGTTGTTATTATTATTATTATTATTATTATTATTATGATGTTAATTTCAGATCCTTATTATTATTAATTAGTAATTTTTTGTAGGATTTTACTGTTTTTACTGATATTCGTATTATGGCCATCTTCCGTTTCCGTTTCCATTTTCACTTAATTAAGGATTCGTTTTTATTTTCCTATTTTCCTGCCGTTGTTGTTGTTGTTGTTGTTGTTGTTATTGTTATTGTTATTGTTATTGTTATTGTTATTATTATTATTATTATTATTATTATTATTATTATTATTATTATTATTATTATTATTAATTTTTGGTATGATTTTCTTTTTTTTTACTGGTATCCTTATTATGACCTTTTTTTATGCACAATCTTCCATTTTTTCTTTTATATTTTTATTGAATTAATGATCCTTTTTATTTTCCTATTTTACTGATTATTATTAGTATTATCAGTGAATCCCATTTATTTTTTCATTTTTAGTGAATTAAAGATCCTTTTTTATTTTCTAATTTTACTGCTAACTTTTTTACTAATTATTATTAGTATTAATTAATTAGTGAATTCCATTTCTTTTTCTATTTTTCGTGAATTATTGATTTTTTTTATTTTTCTATTTTAGTACTAATTTTTTTACTAATTATTAATAGTATTATTAATTGGTAATTTTTTTCTTTTCTATTGTTTTGGCGAGAAAGTAAGGAAGGTGGTTTTGTTTTTAATAATAGTATAGATAATAGATTATTAATTGGTAATTCTTTTCCTTTTCTATTGTTTGGGCGAGAAAGTAACGAAGCAGGATTTTGTTTTTAAGGGCTTTCTAGTATTTGTATTGTCAGATTTATTTGTCCCTCCTTGTGCGCACTGGCATTTGGCCATGTCCGCTGAACCCATTGAGTCACCGTGATTTACATCCTCCCAAATACTCTGTCGAGGCGGGGTCCCTGTCCGCTGAACCCATTGAGTCACCGTGATTTACATCCTCCCAAATACTCTGTCGAGCAGGAGTGTGGGAACGAGCCCTTAGGGTTGGGGATTCAGCCTTTGAAAACGAAGTTGGGAGAAGATTTATTTGTCCATTCAAAGTGTTGGAACGTACGAAGTATTATAATAGTATTTTAATATTGTCCTATTGTATTACGAATAGGAATTTTAATGTACAATTATAGTACGAATCGAAAAGTAGGAAACAATATATTCTATTAGAAATTACATTACACTATTTTACAATATTAGAATAGGAATTTTAGAAATTACATTACACTATTTTACAATATTAGAATAGGAATTTTAATATACAATTATAGTACGAATAGGAAAGTAAAAACAATGTATTCTATTAGGAAATGTATTACACTATTTTACAATATTACACAAATCTTAAGGGGGTGTATTCAATCATGACTTTTTGTAGAGTTTTAAAGACTTTTAAAATGATAGATTTTAATAAACTTTGATTGACTTTCATAAAGTCGTTCAAAACTTTTTAAAATGAAGATTCTAAAGTTTAGGAGAGAGAGAAAAATTGGTAGAGTTTAGGTATGAGGAAAATATAGGATAATGAAGAAAAAAATAATTTTATTGAATTTAGATAGGTTTATAGAGTTTAAATAGGGAGAAAAAATAGAGTTTACATAGAGAGAGAAAAAACATTCAAAGTTGTTAGAAAGAAAATTTGAAATCTTGGGGTTGATGGTTGAATTTCAACTATTTATATTTGAGAAAGAAAAGTCTACAAAAGTCTTAAAATTAAAAAGTCTAGAAAAGTTCATAACTTTTTGAATACCACATTACCACATGACTTTTAAAGACTCTTTAAAATTCTTAATTGAATACCTCACGACTTTTAAAGACTATTTAAAAATCTTGATTGAATACCGCATGACTTTTAAAGACTCTCTAAAAGTTTGAATTGAATACCTCCAAACTTTTAAAGTTCATAAAAGTCTTTAAAACTCTATGAAAGTCATGATTGAATACACCCCCCTTAATAACATAGGACTGTTTTGGCGGGAAGTTGATGAGAATTTTCTTTTTGTATATAATATAGATATAGATTTAGATTATAATTATAATATATGTTGCTTCCTATTTCTAGTATTTGTATTGCTAGATTTATCTGTCCCTCAAAGTGTTGGAACGCACGGAGTGTTATAATAGTGTTTTAATATTGTCCTATTGTATTACGAATAGGAATTTTAATGTACAACTATAGCACCAATAGAAAAGTAGGAAATAATATATTTTATTATGAATTATATTACACTATTTTACAATATTAGAATAGAAATTTTAATGTAGAATTATAGTACGAATAGGAAAGTAGAAAAAGTGTATTATATTAGGAATTGTATCACACTATTTTACAATATTACACAAATCTTAATAATATAGGACTGTTTTGGCGGAAAGTTAAAAGATGAGGATTTTGTTTTTATATATAGTATAGATAGATTGCCTATGTGTATATATTTTTTTTTAAAAAATAAAATTGACCACATCAAAATATATAGAATTATGATTATATTGAGCAATTAAAAATGACTTATTTTTATATAACATTTTTCTCTGTTTTCACACATTTAAAAATTATGTATTGACAACCTATATATATATGCATTTGCATTATTAGTGAACGTATAGGATTTGTTTAATACACTATATGATATTTGATTATATAAAGTATTTTAAGCATAACAAAAATATTGACATTTTAAGAATATACTACCAAAAAAATTAAAAACCTCCTACGATGTTTTCTCATGATAAAATAAGATGAACTATACACTTGGGCATAAGCTTATTTTTTAGATATTCAATTTTTTTAGTTATTCTTGTACTAAAATGATTTAATTTTTTACATTTTAAGTGATCAATGAACGAATCAAACTATCAAAGCAAACGAAATTTACTATAGCTCTATAAATTTTCACCCGTTTTTTTTTTTTTTTTCAAATGCTTTTTTAATGTTTTAGTATTTGTAATCATTTTTTTAATTCTCAAAGAACAATTTCTCTTGAATTTTGTTAGAGCAATAAAGAATAAGAACTTCGAATCAAAGTATTAAAGTCAAAGGAATTCACCAAGTGGCTTGTGGTCCACTGGTATCGGATTGTTTCCCTATGTGGGAGGTTTATGTTTCGAGCTTTATTGTAGGTGTAGTTTGTATGAGTATCCCCCTTCCTTGTAAAAAAAAAAAAAAAGTCAAAGGAATTCACTCGAAGCCAAGCAAAAAATGTTGAGGGTTTGGGCCAAACAAAATTAGGCCCATACAACTAAGAAGATGATGATGCATCCATACGATAGTTATACCTAGACATGACCACGGTTCCGGTTTCGTATTTGGTCGAACCGGAACTGGAACCTTATATTAAGGTTTCGGAACCGGTGGTTCCGGTCGGTTCTAATCGGTATTTTTTTTTTTTTTTTTTGTAAATTGTAAGTTTTTAAGTATTGTTAGGCCTTGAGTTTGAGTAAATTTTTTTTTTTTTAAAGATGACAGTTGTAACTTGTAAGTTTAAGTGGAATAAAATGTTTAACTTTGCTATGTTTTAATACAAAGACCTTATGAGAATAGCGACCAGAGAGCATTGAAACTAATAAAGGCAATTCTTAGGCCATTAATGATTAGGATAACAAAGGAAACAAAAGACAATAAATTTTTCATTGTCATTTGTTTCCTTTATTTTTCTAAACATTAATAGACTAAGAATTACCTTTATCAGTTTCAATACTCTCTGGTCACTACTCCCATAAGGTCTTTATATTAATTTATTCATAGCAAAATTAAGTAATTTATTTCACTTAAACTAAAAAAAAAATTTAATAATTTTAAAAATGTAAAATTTAATAATTTTGCATTTTTTTTTATTTTTTCGGTTTGGAACCGGAACCGTCCGGTTCCGAACCGGAACCGGCGGTTCCGGTTCCAATATTATAGGAACCTTAACCGGAACCTTATAGGTTCCGGTTAAGAACCGGAACCGGAACCGTACGGACGGTTCCGGTTTGAATCGGAACCGTGGTCACCCCTAGTTATACCATGGATTAGGGTTCACCTTGCAAGGTGGATCCGATTATATTCATAATTTTTTAACTCTATATTCACAACGAATGTTTTTTTTTTTTTTTTTTAACAAAATTATTAAAAACATCTCAACGAGTAAATATTCAGTTCTACAATTGTGAATATAGAGTTCAAAAATTTTGAATATATAATTATGCAATTGTGAATATTGAGTTCTGTAATTTTATGTATTGAAATCTAAAATCATGAATATTTAATTCTAATATTGCGAATATATATAGAGTTCAAAAATTGTGAATATAAAGTTCATAAATTATGAATATAACCCAAATTTATCTTACAAGGTGGACAATTCAACTCCCTCAGGTAAGTTTCTGTTTCCTCTGCTTTTGTAATTGGTAATGTTTTACAAAGTATGAGTTTTCCCATAACTAAGCAAGTAGGGCTTTGTGGTTGATATCTAATCATATACCATAACATCATTGCACGAATCGTTCTCATTCACAACTACCAGTAAACAAGATGCAATAACGACACAACTAGCAAAAAGGAAACTCACAAAAAGTAAACTCAACTTCACTAAAGATGGAGAAGATGAAGACAATTCCGAGCCTCAACAAACGCATACTAAGAAAAATTAATTCACTCTAATCAAATTACTCTTTTCATAATAGATAGTCAACTTTAGTTAGTGGTTTATTTCTTGTTACTTACATTAGTTATAATTTAACTATTTCAAATTTCTTTATCTTTTTTTTTTTTATTAAAATATAAGCACTAAGACTATTTCTTTCAACTTTAGTTAGTGGTTTATTTCTTGTTACTTACGTTAGTTATAATTGTTGTTTATTTCTTGTAACTATTTCAAATCCAATTAAGATTATAAATACAGGCATTGGTCTAATCGCGCAAAGCGTGTGTAATAATATACATCGTTGAATGAGCTCCATTTTTTAGTTTCATTTTATAATACAAAAGAAAGGGATACCCACCCACATATACAATCTAAGCCTACACCAAAGCTTGAACCTTAGATTTTCCACATAACAGAGAAATCAAACACCAATGGACCATAATCCACTTGGTACATTATTTTCATTTTAGTAATACTAAACTATCATTTTAATTCGACTATAATTTTATTTGACAACCATGACTACACTATGGACCATGGTCTAGTGTATAACTACCGCAAATAGGCTTAGATGGGCAATTTATATCCTACACCACGGCGCGCGTTGCACTATGCGCCCAGATGCAAAACGACGTCGTTTTAATTATTATTTTTTTTTGAAATTTCCCGCCCCAGTGAATGGCAGTAGTTTTTTCTTTAAAAAAAAATCCGCTGTTCAAGAATGTACATAATGTTATACTAGAATACACATAATGTTATACATGAATGTACATAATTATATAACAAAATATACATACTCTTTTTAAAAGATAATACACATAATCTAACATAATACATAATAAGCATAAACTTTTAACATAATACACATCAACTCTTAACATAATACACACAAATTTTCTGATTCGGATGTACATAATTGTATAAAAAGAATGTACATAATTGTATAAAAAATACACATAACTGTATGAACCAATACACATAACGTTGTGAACAAATACACATAACGTTGTAAACAAATACACATAATCTCAGCAACTTCCTACCGCGCCTCCCAACACTACCCCAAAACGACGTCGTTTTGGGAGGCGCGCGGCGCACAATGTTATGTGCGCCGTGGTGTAGGATATAACGATTGGCTTAGATGCTAGGCAAAATAATTTATTGGGCCACTTAGCCCAATTGAATATTATTAACTCTAATTCTAAAATTCTTAAGGCCCGTTTACAAACGGAAAACTGGTTTTTTGATTTATGTTTTTTAATTTCTCAGTTTTCATTCTTTGTTTTCTATTTAGAAAACCTTTTTACTAACACTTAGAGCTCGTTTGGTTCGCGGAAAATATTTTGAGGGAAGTAAAAAATTTCATGGAAAAACAATTACTAGGAAGATGAATTTCATTGTTTGGTTGGTAGAAAAAGAATTACTGAGAATACTAATTCTATTGTTTGGTTAGATTTGGAATTGTAAGGAATAACGAGTATAAAGACCTATATGTCCCTACAAATTAATAAAAGTAATATAATTAAAAAAAAAAAAAGCAAATAAGCGTAAAATAGGCATTCCATCTCACTTTTTTTTTTCTTCCCATCTTCCATGGAAAACAAAATCCTTGGTCCAACCAAGGATTTTGTTTTCACCAAGGATTTTGTTTTCCTCAAATTTGAAGAATTCATTTTCCAATGGAAAATGAATTCCATGAACCAAACACAAAAAAACAACATTTTCCTCCACTTTAAGGAAAATGTTTTCCTTTGGAAAACATTTTCCATGAACCAAACATCCCCTTATTTTTTCAAATTTATTTTTTTAGATTAACGTTAAAAAATTAACACAAGTTTAATTTCGAGTGATTTTTAAATCTTATATTTTAAATATTTTTACATATGTTTGGTTTAAATGGTTTTTTTTTTTTTTTTAAAAGTATAATATATGTAAATTTTTTACATTTTATATCCGAACCAACAACCTACTAAGTTCACCTAAAATTTAGTTTTGATAATATTAATATTGTTTGAGCTATTATTTAAAATATTTTTGGACATATTCATTTGAATGACATATATATAAATACCAGTTTACACGCGCATTGTGCGAATGAGTTTGTTGGTTTTATGACTTTTGGGCAGTCAACAGCAGGCCAACACTACCGTTAGAATAACGAGAATATAAGAGAAATATATGGCGAAAATATAGGAATGTTGGATTGATGAGTATTGCTCGTGAATTGCTGTGTGTCCCCTTTCTCCTCTATGTGAGGGTCTATTTATACATGTTTTGGGCCTAGAGCCCTACAAGGAATAAGAATTCTAGACTGCCTCATATTGAGAGTCTCAGTTACATGACGAGACCTAATTCTATTATACTAGAGATAATAACAGGCTCAATCCTTGACAAACTCTTGGGTTGCTCCGTATCGTATATCTTTCTTGGGCTTTCTTGATCCAGTTACTTTCTTGGGTCGGTCCATGTGGCCCAGACCTAGTATGCTATCCATCATCCAGTCCTCCACTTTCTTGAGATTTCGAAGAGTCATTGTCTCGGAAAAGTATTTTGAATTATTCTCTGGACTGTTAATAATAATAATAATAATAATAATAATAATAATAATAATAATAATAATAATAATAATAATAAGAGATGCCAATTAAAGCCATAACTAAAGGAAAGTAAAAGCTAAGAAAAGAAAGATGAAAGTCTGTAAATCTATGATCTGCTGGTCAAGCGAGGGATCTCACAAAACGACAGAGAACAGGAGGCACAAAATCAAAGTTAATAAAAGAAAAGATGGAAGACTGAGCATTGCACAGCGGCTAAAGATGTCTCATGTCTGTATTTCTTTGCTCGCCAAAAGGGGATTTTCGCTTACGGATTGAACGTAGGTTACCGAATATCTATAAATCTATTTTCTCTTAAAACCTCAGCTTCAGCTTGTGCCATCGGATCAACTTTGATATCTCCATCTTCCTTCTCTCCCTCTCGCTCCTCTGCCATTTTTTTCCTGTGTAATTCCTCTGCAGTCTCCATGGCAGCCCTATGCTCTGCTTGGAGTTTCTACATTTCCTCTTCTTATTGTTGTCTTTCGAACCATGTATCGGCATCCGCCCAAATAAGTTGGGCAGCCCAACCCTGTTCGCCACCCTTGATGCGCTCCTGGAGAGCGTAATTAACGGTGAGGACGCGGCCGTAGAGTTCGGCGCCGTCCATATTGTCCATGGCGGCGGAGGAATCTTCTCTCTCTAGAAAAGTGACAAAGCCGAAAAAGCGGTGCTTCTGCGTGGCCTGGTCTAGCTGCGTGTTCACATCCTTGATGTCTCCAAACGGTACCAAGGATGCGTGCAAGATCGCCTCATTCACTTCCTCCGCCAATCCACCTACGTACAAGGTGTTCTTCTGCACTGTCTGATTCATTGTTTTCTCTCTCTCTATCTTCTTTCTTTCTTTTTTTTTTCAAGCTATTTATTTGTTACTTTTTTTTTCAGGTTAATGCTACGCCCAAGGTACAGTGTTTGTCTTCTGGATTGCAATCTGTTCCTGATTCTTCGGTTCCAGAGTTTAGATTCCTCTAGACCATGATTATTTGGACTCGAGCGTTAACCTTCTTGTGCTGGCTGATGTGTTAACATGCTGACGTGTCTTTTAGGTGGTTGGACAGTGTAGGTCCTAAGAGCTGATGATTCTTGTTGCCCCCCAGATGACATGTAGCATTTTGTTCTTTTTTTTTTTTTTTTTTTTTTTTTTTGTACAACTAGATTTTGTAATAACAATTTCTATTCTGCTTGTTCTGCTTTCCCGTTCCTTTTCTGCTCCTTTTGTTTTGTGTATGTTATTTCCAGCTTTATTCAGTTCCATCCATCTAGTATGCCCATCCGCCAAATATGTTTGAGAACATGTCTAGTTCTCAAGTTCATCTCATTCATTCAGTATGCACATCCACCAAATATTTTGAGAACGTCTCCCGTTCTCAGCCAGTACGCCCTACCGCCAAACGTCTCCCGTTCTCAGCAAGTACGCCCAAAAGATTTTTGAGAACGTTGCCCGTTTTCTGCCAATATGCCTAACCGCTGAATGCTTTTTGAGAACGTCGCCCGTTCTCTGTCAGTATGCCACTCCGTCATTGGATTGTGAGAACGTCTCCCGTTCTCTGTCAGTATGCCTATCTACCAAAGACTTTTGAGAACGTCTCCCGTTCTGTCAGTATGCCCAATCGCCGAACAATTTTTGAGAACGTCTCCCGTTCTTTGTCAGTATGCTACTCCGTCATTGGCTTGTGAGAACGTCTCCCGTTTTCTGTCAGTATGCCTATCTACCAAAGACTTTTGAGAACGTCTCCCGTTCTGTCAGTATGCCCAACTGCCGAACGATTTTTGAGAACGTCTCCCGTTCTCTGTCAGTATGCCATTTTGCCAATGGCTTTCCTGAGAACGTCTCCCGTTCTCAGCCAGTATGCCCATCCGCCAAATATTATCTGAGAAGGTCTCCCGTTCTCAGCCAGTATGCCCAACCACCGAATGATTTTTGAGAACGTCTCCCGTTTTCTGTTAGTATGCCATTTCGCCAATGACTTTCCTGAGAACGTCTCCCGTTCTCAGCTAGTATGCTCATCCGCCAAATATTTTCTGAGAACGTCTCTCGTTCTCAGATTTATGTTATCCCATACTCCTTTTGACCACTTCTTGTCAATCGTGCTTTATACCCTGATGACTCCTAGACTCTACACTAGACTTTATACTGACTAGACTTCTCTCCTATAACCCCTAGGCCCTACACTAGACCCCTTACCCTTGACACCCTGTCATCTTTTAGACTTTCCTTCACCTGATATTGTCAGGTTCATCCTTCTGACGATCATCTTTGCTTGTTTTACCATAATTTGGTTACTGCTTCGTGATCTGGTTGTGAACTGTCCATCGAGGGGTGAGAGGATGAGTCGACTACTGAGAGGTGGGAAGTTCCATCGACCACTGAGTGTTGGGATGACCAACCTTGATGACTAGTCCGCCTAGATGATCAGTCGGGGTGACCAATTTGGGTGACTTGTCAGGGCGACCAATCCACCTCTGCAGTCTCTCCAACTTAACTGCCAAAATTCTTGAATGCGTCTTCTCGGTTTGTTCCCCGTTGGACGGGGCGGTCGAACCTCATGCACTGGTTTGGGTCCGAAGGTGGGGACTTCTTTATTTCGAGGGGGGTAGCCCTCAATCGATGTTGGGTCTGTCTTCCCATTTGGACGATCGATCCACTGGACGCGCTCTTGCTTCATCGCGGTGGCTTTTTGCCTCTCGCCTTCGTTTTTGTCGCAAAGCCTCTTCTATTTCTGCGTATTTGTTGGCCCGCTGGACGGCCTGTGCATACGTTTCTGGGGTCTCCCTTCGTAGGCTGGTGAACAGATCACCTGATCTTAGGGCCTCCACGAACAAAGTGAGAGTCGTTTGGTCGTTCAAGTCTTCTACTGTTTGTACCTCTTTCTGCCATCTTTTTAAGAATTCCTTTAGTGTCTCAGTTTCTCCTTGTTGAATGGTGGTCAAATCCATGAAGTGCTTCTTCGTTTTCATGCTTCCCGCAAAGTAGGTTAGGAATTGTTCGGCCAAGGTTTCGAAGCGGTTGATGGACCGCGGTGGTAGAGATAGGAACCATTGCTGCGCTGCCCCTCCCAGGGTTGAGAAGAAGGCGCGACAATACATGGGGTCTTCCGCCCCTATTACCATCATCTTTGCCTGGAAGCGTATCAGGTGATCGCTGGGGTCCTCCATTCCATCGTAAGTAGGCATCGTCGGGCATTTGAAGTCTCTTGGTGCGCGATATTCTTGGATCCTCATAGAGAATGGACTGGCAGATAACAGAGATAGAGCGATTGGCCGGTCTCTTCCACCTTCAACCTTCCTTTGGAGGTCTTTTACTTCCTTGGCAAGTTCCGCCATCTCTTGATCTCGGTTCCCTTGGCTAAGTTCTGGAGTTTTTCCGCTGCCCTCCATCATGTCTTGCAGAATTCTTTCCCTGTCGCGATCTCCTACCCTCGTCCTTTCTGTGCGAGGACCAATGGCATGGGTGGCCTCAACTCGTCGTTGGGGGTTGTGTCTGGTTCTTTGCTGCGGGCTTTCTATCGGGGTGTCTCCCAGATCAAGCTGTGGGACGGTTTTCGGCTAATTAGGGGGCCCTATACGGTCGAGAACGGAGACCGCGCGATAGTGTCCCTGGGGTGTAGCCGATCTCTGTACTCTTTCAGGTAGTTGATTCGCGCCGACAACCTGGGTGCTGTCGTTTATCCGAGAGGGTTCTGGGGATTCTGCCCTCGTGTTCTGGCCGTGATGTAGGGCCTCTAGGAAGCGTGCAGCAGCCTCCACTATCTCGGGTGGGAGCTCCACTAGCTGGGTCCGTGGGACGCCGACGGCCGGTGGGCGTGCGCTCGAGTGGACCTCTTCATCTTCTCGGGGATCTCCCAGTTCGGCCTCCCTCTCAAGGGGAATCTGCCGACCGGATGGTACCTGCGAGGGGGGTTGACTGAGGGTTTCTCTCGAATTTCTGACGGGTCCAGTGACCAGTCGGCCAGTTCCAGTATTTCGTCGTGTGGTTACCATGCTTTAAGGGGTTTGAGGAACGAACGAAAACTTTTCGTATCGATCCCCACAGACTGACTTTTGGGCAGTCAACGGCAGGCCAACACTACCGTTAGAATAACGAGAATATAGGAGAAATATATGGCGAAAATATAGGAATGTTGGATTGAAGAGTATTGCTCGTGAATTGCTGTGTGTCCCCTTTCTCCTCTATGTGAGGGTCTATTTATACATGTTTTGGGCCTAGAGCCCTACAAGGAATAAGAATTCTAGACTGCCTCATATTGAGAGTCTTAGTTACATGACGAGACCTAATTCTATTATACTAGAGATAATAACAGGCTCAATCTTTGACAAACTCTTGGGTTGCTCCGTATCGTATATCTTTCTTGGGCTTCCTTGATCCAGTTACTTTCTTGGGTCGGTCCATGTAGCCCAGACCTAGTATGCTATCCATCAGAGTTAATGCCCAATGTTTATAATTAAATAAATATTTGAAATTATATCAATATGCAAGATTATATATAAGAAATTCATACATAAGTAATTTAATGTCGAATTTGTTTATTTAAATTTGTAAATCATAGTATATGAATACAATGTAATATAGGAGATTCATTGTAATTGTTACTAAAAAAAATTTTAAATAGTAACCAAGTATTTTTGTTGCAAAGGTTTCTAATATATTTAATGAATGCACATATATACAAGATCAATGAATGAATCAACGATACCAATCCTTTATGTGTTTTGCTCAATGTTCATTTAGTTCAACCATTATTGTTGGAAAATAGCATTAAAATGGCATGTTAAGTGGTTATTTTGTGGTACAATTATCAGTGAGGTCCACTTCCGATTTGGGTCGGGTCAAAGTGGATTCGGGTTCTTCGCAGTGAGACGAAGAGATTGATATATTGTACGCTCAAAACGGATAATGGGTGAATGAGATATTGATTCTCAAAGTAGACCCATTGAGTTGGAAAAAAATAAGCTTTTGTCCCACATTGGTTTGGGAAGAGGATTTGCCCCACTATTTATACAAGAGTCTTTTAAAAACTTATTGAATGTATAGCATAGAGGTTTTCTCTCGCGCGCAAGGGGTCATCAGCTCGGTCCAGGCCGAACTGAAGTTTCGGCTCTCCTAATTAGTGTCGCCTCACTAGTCACTTGGGTTCGGCCAAGATCGTTTTGGTCTGTGAAGGCCGATTTAATTTTCAACTAACTCCAATTTCAATTTTGAATTTAAATCCTAAGTATGGCTTTCTGTTTCAGATGTTACAAAGCCAAGTTTAATGACCTTGTTTAATGCTATTAAGGTCCTACATCCCTATATAAGAAGGCATAGAGCAGCAGAATTTTTTACAAGAGAGAACAAGAAGTATAGCACACACACTTGAACAGTTTTAGCCCCAAAAATCTCTGCTTCTACTCCTTTCTTTGCCTAACTGTGTTCAAGGCTTTGCTCTAGTTCGCCGGGTTTGTTCATTTGGGTGCTCAAACGTCGAACCGTAGCACGTTTGGGTGCTCAATCTGAGGATTATTAGTTCCAATTTTGGTTGATATATATTGATATATCTTTTTCCATAGATATATATGTATATATAACCTTTGGGTCCATTTTATATATATATATTTGTGTGTGTGTGTGTGTGTGTGTATATATATATATATATATATTTGGATATATATCCAATAAAATTTTATATATTTTCGTGTGTATATATAAATATTATTTTGGGATATTAAATCGACTTTTGGTTCATTATTTCCAACAATCTTAAAACCTTAATCAGTATAATAATGAACAAGTCGGTGGATTCCAAGAGTATTGGAACCGTGAATGTTGCTTGTGGTGCACATTCAAATGGTCGGAATGGCAACGATGTTGCACATTCCGTGATGCCGGTTGACGGCAGCAACGTTGAAAATGTTATTTCTATGGGAGTTGCAAAAACACACGATGGTGCTCCGGAGACTTGTGACTGGTGGCACACAATTGGTACCTATTGTGTTGCCTAGTGGATCGGCTACAAGCTACGAAGGATCTTATGATGGTGTAATCACTACATGGTCTGAGGACTATTGTAGTGTGACCAACGGCTTCAACGATAATCAAAGGAAAGGTAAACGAAAGTTTAGGCCTGAAAATGATTATGAAGAAGAAGTGAGCAGCCACTATGAAGCGAACCGTCATCCTGGTGAAAAAGTTGCGGACAACTTCGCTTGGGTTAAAGAATGTAGATGGTTGGATGAGTGAGGTCACAACCGAGGTACCCCCGATGTGCGCTATGGACCACCCTTCGTGGAGTGGACGGTTGAAAAATGGAATAAGGCACACAGGTTGAAGGATTACTACGAGATAGGAATAAGGAAATGTGTTTCCAATGTAATTTTTCATATTTATTTATTTTGAATAAATGTTGTAGTATCCTTGTGATACATTTTTATTAAGTGTTGAATAAAACTGATTCGTTCCATTTATGTGTTTGAACTTTGTATATTTTGAAATATTCATGTGTGATATTTTATTATATAAAAGATTCAATATGGATGCCTAGTGCATCAAGTAGCATTATTTGGAAAATGTTAAAATGGCTTAACGGCCAGAACAAAATGTAACAAGTGTGTTACATGTTTGAAATCTCGTAAAGGCTTCGGTTCTAGTTCATGTTGAACAATATAGATTTCAAAATAGGATCAAAATTTGTCAAAATTTGGGATAGGTGTATAATCGCGAGCTTCATAGCTCAATTGTTGAATATTTTGAATAATATTCAGAGTACGATTATATAAGCTTGATTCAACTAGTCGGAAAAATTTGGTTGATTTGTTCTTGTTAATTGTGTTATAATTAACTCGATCAAAATTAGAATTACACTAGTATAAAATTAATTTGAGACAAATAATGATTTGTTGGATAGTGTTTTCGGAGCACTAACGAAAAATTCAAAAGGTTTAATTAGCTTGTAGTGCTAATGATAGCACTTAGTGATAAGCTTGGTAATTAATCAAGCACCAAATGGTGCTGATTAAGTAAAGCAGTTTAATGCTTTGTGAAATTAAAGCACTTTCGTGCTTTTGTGGTTTCGTGTATCACTTCCGTGCAACTTTGCCAAGCATGGTTCGTACTTCAATTTGTGAAGTACGAACTGATGGTGTCTTGTGGCACCAAATCTTTAGCACGAGTTGGTGCTTTTTCAAGCATCGATTCGTGCTTTTTTTTTTTATTTTATTTCCGGGGCTTCGATCAAACCCGAATGGATTCATAAGGGCTAATTTGTTAGCACCTACGAGATGTGTTAACGTGTAACACATGTTTATTCTTTATAAGAATAAAGAGAAAAACCAAATTAATCGTGAATTAATGCGGTTACGAACGATCGATGTAGTGAACATGAAACACCTATTGATGATTTCTACGCAAGCTTTGGTATCGTACTCGAGCATACGGCATGGTATTCACCTCAATCGAACGTTGTTGTCGAACATAAATATCAAGACGTTGATAAGTTCGGGTCTACCTCAAAGTATATGGGGTAAGACAATACTTTGGACAAGTAAATACTTTTTAAATAAGGTCACTCGCATGAAACTCGATAAGGCTTCTTATGGGTTGTGTGTAACACCCCTAAATTTTACCAACATTTTAAAAACTTAATTTAAAGAAAATGGCCTAATCATTAAGCATAAACAAGCGGAAGCTAACATAATTCGGGAAGTGCTATGCCACACCTATACCAAAAGATAGGTGCACAGGCTACAACTAAACCATGTTCAACATTCTAAGGCTCACAGGCCAACAAAATAGAATAAGTCTAAGCAAAAGAAAGCAAGAAGAGCTACACTATCTAGGGTCCACATCTAGCCCGCTATTCGATCTAATCAAAACCTGTAAAGACAAGGGATAACACCTGGTCAGCGAATAATGCTGGTAACCCACCAGTACAAGTTAAGTATCAATATATATATATATATATATATATATATATATATATATATATATATATATATATATATATATATATATATATATATACACACATAGATATAGTCAAAACCGTTTGAAACTGAGGAGTACAGTATATAGCATTTGAAAACCAAGAGATGAGACAACAATCGACATATCACACTCTCAATAAAGATCAAGACCAACAACTTCAACAAAGCAATAGAGACCACAATCAACAAGTGACACACACAACTCTAGATGCAATCTACCATTCACAAGGTAGAGTTCATCATAGGCAGGCTCATAAGCAAGAATTACAACAATCACATAATGACAAGTTTCACGTTCAAACCTTATGGCTACCCCGGCCTTATTTCGGTTCCAACCGTTACCTCTTAGTGCCACCCTGTACTTCTAAGCCCAACCTTATTCCGCCTGGGACCGTCGTCCCCCACCAATCACACCACCA